GTATACACCGTAATGTATACCCAATTGTATGTGTGTATGTACACTGTTAGTATACATTAGTCCTGGACTATGGCTAGGGGTCATTAATTCTTGCTGTAAAGTCAATTAGCTATTGTTATGGCCTAAATAACCTTCCTACATTCAACAGGCCTTAAACACAACAACAAACCTCTATTCGAGGGTCAAAGGTGTATTATGCCCCACGAGGAGAACCCTCGCTACTCGTTGTATTCGCTGAGAGTTTACTTAAGTCCTGGACTCTGGTCAAGACATGCTGAGTGGTCAGTTAGTAATCGTGTGACCTTCGTAACACCAGAAGACGATGGGTATGAAGCCCGACACTAAACTGAACATGTGGAGGAGAGGTGTATACAACATTGGCTATGTTTAACAACACTGGCTGGGAACAACAACACTGAACAACAACACTGGCTGGGAAAACAACAATGGTTACGAACAACAACATTAGTTATGAAAAACCACACTATCTGAGAACAAGAACGCTGGCTACGAACCAGAACACTCCCCCGTGAACAAGCACACTGCCTGTGAACAAGTACACTCCCTGTGAACAAGTACACTCCCTGTGAACAAGTACACTCCCTGTGAACAAGTACACTCCCTGTGAACAAGTACACTCCCTGTGAACAAGTACACTCCCCCGTGAACAAGTACACTCCCCGTGAACAAGTACACTCCCCTGTGAACAAGTACACTCCCTGTGAACAAGCACACTGCCTGTGAACACACTCCCTGTGAACAAGCACACTGCCTGTGAACAAGTACACTCCCTGTGAACAAGTACACTCCCTGTGAACAAGTACACTCCCTGTGAACAAGTACACTCCCTGTGAACAAGTACACTCCCTGTGAACAAGTACACTCCCTGTGAACAAGTACACTCCCTGTGAACAAGTACACTCCCTGTGAACAAGTACACTCCCCGTGAACAAGTACACTCCCTGTGAACAAGTACACTCCCTGTGAACAAGTACACTCCCTGTGAACAAGTACACTCCCCGTGAACAAGTACACTCCCAGTGAACAAGTACACTCCCTGTGAACAAGTACACTCCCCGTGAACAAGTTCACTCCCTGTGAACAAGTACACTCCCTGTGAACAAGTACACTCCCCGTGAACAAGTTCACTCCCTGTGAACAAGTACACTCCCTGTGAACAAGTACACTCCCCGTGAAGAAGTACACTCCCTGTGAACAAGTACACTCCCTGTGAACAAGTACACTCCCTGTGAACAAGTACACTCCCTGTGAACAAGTACACTCCCCGTGAACAAGTTCACTCCCTGTGAACAAGTACACTCCCTGTGAACAAGTACACTTCCCGTGAAGAAGTACACTCCCTGTGAACAAGTACACTCCCTGTGAACAAGTACACTCCCCGTGAACAAGTTCACTCCCTGTGAACAAGTACACTCCCTGTGAACAAGTACACTTCCCGTGAACAAGTACACTCCCTGTGAACAAGTACACTCCCTGTGAACAAGTACACTCCCCGTGAACAAGTACACTCCCCGTGAACAAGTACACTCCCTGTGAACAAGTACACTCCCCGTGAACAAGTACACTCCCTGTGAACAAGTACACTCCCCGTGAACAAGTACACTCCCTGTGAACAAGTACACTCCCTGTGAACAAGTACACTCCCCGTGAACAAGTACACTCCCCGTGAACAAGTACACTCCCTGTGAACAAGTACACTCCCTGTGAACAAGTACACTCCCTGTGAACAAGAACACTCCCTGTGAACAAGTACACTCCCTGTGAACAAGTACACTCCCCGTGAACAAGTACACTCCCTGTGAACAAGAACACTCCCTGTGAACAACACCACTGTTACCCAACACCGACGTCATACCCTAAAAGAGGAAGGTAAAACAAAACCACAAAAATCTCCCCACTACGCATCATGTGCCATATAAAGCTTCACAGCCAACGAGGCCTTGCGTCGAGGGCTGGCGTATCTCGTGGGAAGAACAGAGTGGGCGGCCTTGATGATGTTGTTGACACGAGCAGTAAGTGGGCTGCGACCGGCTTACTTGAACCTTGGAGGGAAGAGGTGTTGACATCGTGAAGTATTGTGTGGCAATTGGTGCAAGTTAGGGGGGGGGAGGAGCTCGGAGGGGTGAAAATTTGAGAAATTTCAAAGGCATAGGAAGATGAATAAATTCAGAATGAATGGGAGGGATGTAGGTGTGTTATATATCCTGTAGTGCAAATCTTGTAGTCATTCGAACTGTGTCTTTGATGATGTTAACGAGAGTTATCGAAGTGCATCTCTTAGTGTTAGGGGCCACGTGAAATTTTATAATGCTATTTTAGAGAGTTTATTTTTCAACTTCTAAAATGAATCGTGCTCGAATCATTGATCTTATTTTGTCTGCCTTATTCAATAATATTTGTCTGAAGATAGACTGTAACCAAATATATATATATATATATATATATATATTTATATATATATATATATATATATATATATATATATATATATATATATATATATATATATATATATTATTTATTTATTTACAAATATGACAGATTTTATATATATATATATATATATATATATATATATATATATATATATATATATATATATATATATATATATATACATATATATTTTTTTTTTTTTTTCACATAGGAAGGGAGTACCACCTCCAGCTGGAAGAAGGGGGACCCATAGCCTCGGAGGAAACCACGCATAACGCATTAGAGGGAATGTTTAGATCCCCTCCAATACAGTTTCTGTGTGCTTTTCTCCTACCACCCGCTTCCTTGAATATTTTTTGTGCTTTATTATGCATTTGATGGTTACAAGATATACATGGGTTGATACAAAAATAATAATGCAAAAAGGTGCTTAAAGGTTATGGATCTCTTGAAGAACACAACAATGGGAAACATTGATGAATGTCACAGACGGGTTCGATCATTGTTGCAAGTCAAACACTTCTTCGAATTCCTCTGAAGTACATATATATATATATATATATATATATATATATATATATATATATATATATATATATATATATATATATATATATATATATATATATATATATATATATATGTCGTACCTAGTAGCCAGAACACACTTCTGAGCCTACTATGCAAGGCCCGATTTGCCTAATAACCCAAGTTTTCATGAATTAATGCTTTTTCGACTGCCTAACCTACCTAACCTAACCTAACCTAACTTTTTCGGCTACCTAACCTAACCTAACCTATAAAGATAGGTTAGGTTAGGTTAGGTAGGGTTGGTTAGGTTCGGTCATATATCTGCGTTAATTTAACTCCAATAAAAAAAAATTGACCTCATACATAATGAAATGGGTAGCTTTATCATTTCATAAGAAAAAAATTAGAAAAAATATATTAATTCAGGAAAACTTGGCTTATTAGGCAAATCGGGCCTTGAATAGTAGGCCAAAAAGTGAGTTCTGGCTACTAGGTACGACATATATATATATATATATATATGTCGTACCTAGTAGCCAGAACGCACTTCTCAGCCTACTATGCAAGGCCCGATTTGCCTAATAAGCCAAGTTTTCATGAATTAATTGTTTTTCGACGACCTAACCTACCTAACCTAACCTAACCTAACCTAACTTTTTTGGCTACCTAACCTAACCTAACCTATAAAGATAGGTTAGGTAGGGTTGGTTAGGTTCGGTCATATATCTACGTTAATTTTAACTAAAATAAAAAAAAATTGACCTCATACATAATGAAACGGGTAGCTTTATCTTTTCATAAGAAAAAAAATAGAGAAAATATATTAATTCAGGAAAACTTGGCTTATTAGGCAAATTTGGCCTTGCATAGTAGGACTGACAAGTGCGTTCTGGCTACTAGGTACGACATATATATATATATATATATATATATATATATATATATATATATATATATATATATATATATATATATATATATATATATGACCGAAAAAGTAAGATTAATAATTCTAACAGGAATTTTCTCTTTTTTTTTTGAGATATATACAAGAGTTGTTACATTCTTGTACAGCCACTAGTACGCGTAGCGTTTCGGGCAAGTCCTTAATCCTATGGTTCCTGGAATACGATCCCCTGCCGCGAAGAATCGTTTTTTCATCCAAGTACACATTTTACTGTTGCGTTAAACAGAGGCTACAGTTAAGGAATTGCGCCCAGTAAATCCTCCCCGGCCAGGATACGAACCCATGACATAGCGCTCGCGGAACGCCAGGCGAGTGTCTTACCACTACACCACGGAGACTGCTATTTTGACTGCTTTCTTTTGTTTCTTTTCACTGTCGATGGTAATTGAAAAATCAATTCTCCAAAATTCATTTTTATGTCTAGTCTGACGCGACATTTGAACGTGTTTCGTAATAACTTATTACATTTTCAAAGACTTTAGTTTACACACACACAACTATAACCTGTAAACACTAAACAGAGTTCTATGCTATCATTTAAACAGCTTTCATCTTATATACCAGCATTTGGGTGAGGTGATATGTTACAACAGTTTTGGATGAGGTGAACAAAACTTTCAACACAAGATAGAACACGAAACAATGGGTATAAATTGGGTAAATTAAAGGGAAGGATGGAAGTAACTGCAAAGGGCCTATTGGCCCATATTTCTTGAAGCTTCGATATTGGCGCGGAGTCTTGAAGTCGGTAGAATATAGTTGTGCATATATATATATATATATATATATATATATATATATATATATATATATATATATATATATATATATATATATATATATATATATATATATATATATATATATATATATATATATATATATATATATATATATATATATATATAACAGAGAACACACATATATATTACAATATAACAATCAGCACATAAATATTATGTATGATATTACGAAATCCTTGCACTCAGATACTTCACAATTTCCTTGAACATCACCTCCTGTTGCCTTAACACCTGTAGCTCCTCCCACGGGCTCCTCAGGTATATATATAGTCTCTAACACCGTCCCAGGACACTCTTAGCACCAGTCAGCCCTTCTCGTCCCTTAAGGTAAATATTTCTCACTAGACAAGATCATGTTAAAGATTTTATAAGACAATTAGCATTTTATGATATTTTTTCAGATTGTCTTGCATAAAAAATCATACTTGAAAGACATTGATATTTGCATATTTTATGAAATTCAACTTGCCTTATACTAGAATGAATAAGTATAATGAGATTTATAAGTATAAGGTTTATATCATGTATATGTCGAGCAAAATGTACTGATAAATCTCAGTTATAACTTTTAATTATTCACTGAATGTTTTCTCTGTGAAATAGATGAAGGTCGTAGCATTGCTTCTGTGTGGGTTGGCTGTGGCGGCCGCCCATCCCACTTGGGAGGAATTCAAGGTAAGCCAATTTTCACTCTCTGAGATCTTCTTGGTACTGAGTGACTTTACTTAAAAACAAATGCTTAACACAGCTGAGAAACTTGTTACGTTAGACTCTAAGAATAATCTCAAATTTCTCTTTATAAGTGTTTCACATATGGATAAAACGCCACTTAGGGATATTGTGGGTTAAACTTTATCAACCAAACTTAAAAAAAAATACAGATAATGCAAGTAATTTCTGTTATGGAAGCACTAAGCAGGAAGAAAGGTGCTTGAAAATTTCGTGAATGAATGTTTAAGTCCAAATAACAGTTTCCAAATGTGAATGGCATTCATGATTTTAATGAAGATGCTTTCTCCTTTTTTGAAAGTAGAAAGGTCAATAAATCGGGTATTAAAGATATAAGTGGCAGACTTGTGACCAACATAAGTAACATTGGAAATTGACGGAAGCATTTTGGTGTCATTGAAAAAAAAATACTGTCAGTGTCCAAAACCACTACAATATTGCTGCAGATATTTTGCTAGAGATATATCTAGCAAAATATCTGCAGGATATCAATATCTTTCAACATTACGAGTATCTTTGTATGTTAGATACTCGTAATGTTGAAAGTGAAAATATTTTTACAAATATGATTGAAATTTATATATTTTCCTTGATGATCGTATGTTACACTAACGAGGTTGAAGATTAGACATCCAAACCCACACATCTTAAACTATAGGATCTAACGGCGTTTCGGCCCCTCGTGGACTTGATAATCATCCAGGATGGATCGAAACATCGTCACATCCTTTATTTCCATATGTGGGGATTCGGTTACTATCATGATCCATATTTACATATTAGATCCATATGTAAAATTATTTACACATAACAGAACAAATTTCTCAAATAGTGCTTCAGTAAAGCGACCTCATGTAACACTTCCACCGTCGCTTTTATTGTGTTTCAGGGTAATAATTAATTAGATAACAGCATCAAATAACGAAGGGACTTTAATAGCCATTGAGGGGGGAAGGGGGGGTGGGGGTAGAAATAGCCTAAGCTACTCTATTCCTTTGAGATGGATTTCTTTCTTGTCTCAATAAACATACTTACTTGAATAGCCCTTGATAACCTCACCATGCTTGATTCCGAGTGTATGGAGTAGGCATTATGAGCATCGCTGTCCACAGACTACTCACGGCCGCAAGTATGTGGACGCAGAGGAGGAACAGTACCGCAGGAGCGTGTTCGACCGCAATCTTCAATACGTCAAGGAACACAATGAAAAGTTTGAGAAGGGCGAAAGCACTTTCAACCTGGCGATGAACCAATTTGGCGACATGGTCAGTCATTTCTGAAATATATATGTGTACTTTTTGAAGCTCAAAATGTGGCCTTTACGTCTCAAAAAAACAAAAATACTTCGTATACATTGAATTTAATATAAACATGCATGAAAGGACATTAATATTCTTATGATATAACAGACGAATGAGGAGTTCAACGCTGTGATGAAGGGCTATAAGAGTGGCTCTCACGCTGAACCCCACAATGAATTCGTCATTAAGGAAGGTCTCCCCATGGCAGCGACTGTGGACTGGCGTAACTCAGGGGCCGTGACTGGTGTCAAGGACCAGGGACAATGTGGTTCATGCTGGTCTTTCTCTGCGGTAAGTGCTTCACCTTTCATCCTAAGTGGTAACATTTCTCATCTGAGTGGGATGATCCCCTACACCTTACTTTGCTCCTCAGCTCTCTCTTGCCTATTTATTGCCTGTCTCTATCTCCTCTTCACAATCGACTTGAGAATGGTCCAGGACGGACCGAAACGTCGTCGTCCCTTCAACTTCTAGTGTGTGGTCTGGTCAACATTTCTCATCTGAGGTTTGTATCTGTTGGTGATTCTGTGTCCATTACCAGGAGTAAGCATTAAACCACTGCGGTTATATTGCTCTTTTAAGGGATTTGAGGATAAGGATTTGGGATGGGATGGGACTTAAGGTTAGGTGACCAACCACTTGGACGGTCGGGGATTGAACTCCTGCGTGAATGAAGCGAGATCATCGCTCTACCGTCCAGCCCAAGTGGTTCGACTCTACTGCCTATAGTGAGTCCACGGATAAATTACTTTTTTCTGAGGCAGAAATACATTAGACTTAATACAGGAAGTTGTATACTTTAAATAGAATAAATACATAAATAATGAACCATTAACAATTCAATAAAGTATCTCGTATTCTGGTTGTCACCATTGTAATATAATTTGTCACTATCGTAGATTAATGTGATGGAGAGGCAGTTATCTTTGGATATTGTGCTGAATGATGTGAGTCTATGTTATCCAGACCTATCATATTCTGTGATATCCTACTGTATCCTACTTATCCTAGCCCACGCTATCGTATTATGTTAACCAATGCAATTATACCCTATCCTATATTATGCTCTTCTAGCCCATGCTATCATATCCTATTTATTTTATAATGCTTCAAGAAGAACAATGCTTCTCTCACAGACCGGTTCCCTGGAGGCTCAGCACTACTTTAAAACCGGTTACCTGATCAGCCTCTCGGAGCAGCAGCTGGTCGACTGTGCCGACGGTATATACTTCAACCAGGGATGTAACGGTGGATGGGTGAACCAGGCCTTCAAGTACATCTATAACTACGGTTCTCAGACTGAGGCTTCCTACCCCTACCAGGCTATTGTAAGCATCGCTGTGGTTCACAGGGTATTGGGGCATAAACTAATCAGTTGTTGATACTGTTTGAAGAGTATTTTCTGCTCGGTACAGCGGTATGATTTGTTGATTGTTTCTTTTCATCCATACAGGACAATGTCTGTCGTTATAATTCCAATTACGTCGCCGCTACGTTGAATGACTATGTAGACATACCTCAGGGAAGTGAATTGGCGCTACAGCAAGCAACTTATTCCGTTGGGCCGATCTCCGTGGCAATTGACGCGTCCAACTATTCCTTCCAGCTGTATTACAGTGGTGAGTAAACACCTATGACACACAACTCTCTCAAGCGTTACTTTTCCGTGTTGCGTTCACAAGAGGTCGTGTAGGCAAGCAGTCATTAGAAAGGTCTGTGTCCAATGGGTAATTCTGAGACCTGAGATGAATATTGTGGTCCAATTACTCTCACCAGTGAGAGATTTTGGTGAAGGATTATGTACGTGTTTCAGAAGCTTCTTATTTTAAATGGCAGTAATCTGTTTGCTTCATTTCGTGCATTGGTTCATTGCTGTCTCAACCTCAGGTCCCTGATTACTGTGATTCCTAAGTCTTTCTCACATTGTGAGATCCACTTGACTGTTACTGACGTGGTTACAGCATCTATGGCCTTCCCTAGCTTAATATATTTTCATTTATCAACACTAAACTGCTTGGTACATTTTCCAGCAATGCAACTTGTTTGTCCCTTTTTTTCATTTGATTATTCAGTCACAATAATAATTAACATGATGACCAGACCACACACTAGAAGGTGAAGAGACGACGACGTTTCGGTCCGTCCTGGACCATTCTCAAGTCGACTAGAGAATGCTCCAGGACTGAAACGTCGTCGTCTCTTCACCTTCTAGTGTGTAGTCTAGTCAACATACATTAGCCACGTTATTGCGACTCATCGCCTGCAATAATTAACACGTTTATCCCCGCAGGCGTCTACTACGAGCCCTATTGCTCATCCTCTAACCTGGACCACGCTGTTCTGGTTGTTGGCTACGGTAGTGAGAATGGACAGGACTACTGGCTCGTTAAGAACTCTTGGGGCTACAGCTGGGGCATCAATGGCTACATCAAAATGGCTCGTAACAGCAATAACCACTGTGGTATTGCCACTGAGGCTTCATACCCACTTGTGTAGTTACCATGGCCTTGTCACCGGACGAAATTGAAATTGTTGAAATTGTTCAATTGAAATTGAAGTTGCTTGAAATTGAATAAATTGGCTTTTATTATTGTGTTTTGATTACAACAACACCTGCTGTAGATTCACACACACACACAGAGGTCACACTAACGTGATGCGTCAAATGAACAAATCCACAAGGGCCGTGACGAGGATTCGAACCTGCGTCCGGGAGCATCTCAGACACTGCCTTAATCGATAGTGTCTGGGATACTCCCGGACGCAGGTTCGAATCCTCGTCGCTGCCTTAATCGACAGTGTCTGGGATGCTCCCGGACGCAGGTTCGAATCCTCGTCACTGCCTTAATCGACAGTGTCTGGGATACTCCCGGACGCAGGTTCGAATCCTCGTCACTGCCTTAATCGACAGTGTCTGGGATACTCCCGGACGCAGGTTCGAATCCTCGTCACTGCCTTAATCGACAGTGTCTGGGATGCTCCCGGACGCAGGTTCGAATCCTCGTCACTGCCTTAATCGATAGTGTCTGGGATACTCCCGGACGCAGGTTCGAATCCTCGTCACTGCCTTAATCGACAGTGTCTGGATGCTCCCGGACGCAGGTTCGAATCCTCGTCACGGCCCTTGTGGATTTGTGCTGTAGATTGTATATTTATTTGTGATATATTGACGTTTAGAAAATTTGTAATGTTGCTGTGGGTTTGGTAGGATTTTTCTGTGGTCAGAATGTTTGGCTCAGCTCAGCCGAGCCTTTTCAGTGCTGCATAGATATGCAATTGCTCTGAGACTGCTATTGGTGGTTTAGGGATGATTAAATAGCCGTTAAGCTAATTGACCGATAGTTAAATACAAGTTCCTTTTCCTAAAAATTAGCACCACACTCACATCCATCTATGATAACAGTTACCACACTCACATCCATCTATGATAACAGTTACCACACTCACATCCATCTATGATAGGGAGCCAGTCGGCCGAGCGGACAGCACGCGGGACTTGTGATCCTGTGGTCCTGGGTTCGATCCCAGGCGCCGGCGAGAAACGGTGGGCAGAGTTTCTTTCACCCTATGCCTCTGTTACCTAGCAGTAAAATAGGTACCTGGGTGTTAGTCAGCTGTCACGGGCTGCTTCCTGGGGGTGGAGGCCTGGTCGAGGACCGGGTCGCGGGGACACTAAAAAGCCCCGAAATCATCTCAAGATAACCTCTCCCAATATTTACTCCAACACCCCCCACACAAAAAAAAATCGTGTTGATGGATACTTGTTTCATGTTAATAAATGGAGCCCGTCCTCCCTGGAAACACAAACCGAAACTGTCTCTATTTTCCGCTTGTTACAACTTGTAATAAAGTTGTTACATCTTGGCTTAACGTGTTTATGACGTATTAGAACGTTGTTACAACTTGCTATATTGGTTGTTTTAACTGGTTAGGAGGGGTTAAAACTTGTTCGAATGTTGTACCAACGTCGTAGTTTCAGTGTGTGTTTGGCGGGTGAGGTTATCTTGAGATGATTTCGGGGCTTTAGTGTCCCCGCGGCCCGGTCCTCGACCAGGCCTCCACCCCCAGGAAGCAGCCCGTGACAGCTGACTAACACCCAGGTACCTATTTTACTGCTAGGTAACAGGGGCATAGATGAAAGAAACTCTGCCCAATGTTTCTCGCCGGCGCCTGGGATCGAACCCAGGGCCACAGGATCACAAGTCCAGCGTGCTGTCTGCTCGGCCGACCGGCTCCCCTGAGATATGCTTAGGCTTCTGTATTATATCATTAGCACACTGCTACTGTAGTTTTACATTGTAATAATAAGAAATGTTGACCAAACCACACACTAGAAAGTAAAGGGACGACGACGTTTCGGTCCGTCCTGGACCATTCTCACACAATCGACTTGAGAATGGTCCAGGACGGACCGAAACGTCGTCGTCCCCTCACTCTCTAGTGTGTGGATTGGTTAACATATTTCAGCCACGTTATTGTGACTCCTCGTCTGCAATAAGAGTGTTCGTGTTGAGTAGCTGCTGCTGAGGTGGAAGTAGGTAACCTTCCTGTGAATTAGATGCTGTGGTCGTCGGAAGATCCCGATCAAAATTCTTTCTTGGCAATGCAGTTCAAGCGAAACTCTACAGCAGGATGATATTTAATCAACAATATTACCCAAGCCGAGGGGAGTGAAGAGTGGGGAAAAAGAGTCTTATATTCGTATTCTCGTATTTATTTTGAATATATTTTTGTTACAGAAAATCTCGTAATAGATCAAATAATTAAATTTTGTTTAGCCACTATATTTATATGTGTTCTTTACCTGTCTCTCTCTCTCTCTTCCCTTGCATTATTGTGTGTTGTTTACCTGTCTTTGTGTGTCATGGGATCTCATATATATTACCTCCCTGTCTCTTCCAATATACTCTCATGTGCTATCTCCCTATTTATCTTCTCACATACATTCTCGTATTCTCCACCTCTCTCACTTCCTCTTTCTCTCTCGTCTGGAGCCTCGTTGAAGCAACCAATCAGCGGCGACATTATCACAGATAATGATAGTGACATGGCTGGTCTTCCAGCCTGTCGTGGGTATTGATGACCAGAGATCATTATAGACTGTGCGCACCGCGAGCAGTTCCAGAATATAGTGACTAGACGGGGAATGAAATTCCAAGGGGGGCTGTGGGGGGCTTTGGTGGGGGGGGGGGGGAGGAGGTAAATGCACTCCTTTCCTCCCTCAGTATTCCCTGTCCTCTTAGAGGGACAATAAATTACGATTTCATGTAAAATCGAATATAGGCTGCGCTTCTCCAAGAAAAGCCATCATTCTCGAAAGCATTTCCAGGATATTGGAAACCTGTTAAGATCTGGACCGGACACTCCCTCTTCCATCTCCCGCTTGCTCTTCCTTCTCCTTTCTACGCCCTTCGAAGCTTTTTCGGAATAATTCCGAGTTTTGCAAAATCTACACTTCGTCTCCTGGCCGACTTGTCCTGCCCAGAGCTATTTCAGGACATTGAGAGTCCGGATGAGGTTTGTACCGAAGGCGTTACATTTCCGTCTTCCGCTTTTCTCTCTGTGTCGAGGTCTCAGGAGGAAAATAATCCAGGGTATATATATATATATATATATATATATATATATATATATATATATATATATATATATATATATATAATTATATAATATATATATAATCACTGCTCGTCTCTTCAACTCATCATTCCAAGAACCATCTCAGGATATTGGAAAAGCTGTGGAGGTGTCGACCGGGAACACACAACTGTCGCATAGTTTAAACTTGAATGAGGTGATTTCATAGAGTCAGGTCTTGGTTCTCTCAGGGGGTCGAGCAAGCGAGCTGAAGGTTCAATGTACATCT